CCTATTAGACACACGAGGTGCCTGACATACCTGGAGAAACTGAATATTCAGATGGAGGCAGGTGTGCTTTGCACCATTGTAAAGTTGGTACTGCAAGAATCTTTGCATAAGAAGCTTAAACAGACAATGGGACCAATATCTTCATTGGCCACAACCATTGCACAGTGAAAATCTGATTCTGGTTATTGCATGGTATCATATTGTAATTCACTCTCACCTCTAAACTGTGCATTGTATCAAAGATAACAAAGGAACTCAAAGGCAACAATGTATCAGTATCAGTTTCTCCTGAATGGGGAGAATCAGTTTTCATCTATGTTCAACATTAACAAATAAGACACCAGAAATAATGCAAGCACACCTTTAAAAACTGGTTTTATAAAAGACTAAATTCAAGATCTAACATTAAAGACGTGAAACCATGAAGCGTCTCACTTGTGTTAAACTCGATTCACTCGCACACGGATTGTGCCGACTTCACAGATTAATGCTGAACTCCAGGGAGGTCTCGTTCAGTTGGCTGAGAGCTACTTCTGCCGCATCGTGACTTGGCACCACGCGCGTGTTTGTAGTTTAAAACAATCCGGCCCAGTACACCTTTTACTCTGCTCATTAGTTCTGGTTGAATGAACGTCTAAAAACAGTCGGGCCTTTGCTTTGGGTCAGGTGGCGCTCCACAGGAAATGACACCAGTCAGCCAAGAATAACAGGACCTCTAGCGATATGATGGCATAACGCAGCCATGTGCTCAGAAGTGTCGACTTGCACTGAGCAGTCGTCTGCCACCTCAGGACCGCTGCCAGTGTTGACGGTGACGGGAATCGCGTGCCACTGCTAGGCTCACTCGGTCGTAACGCCAAAAGTTGGGGTGAGCAAATGTGACTTCCTCTGCTTAGAAATGCGACGCATGCCGTTGTCTCCGAGATTCGAGACTATATTTACCCGACCCTGGCCTGTCCTCTGTTTGTGGTGGGGACAGAAGCTACGGCAGATGGTTCACTTTGAAGTGGATTTTCACTGGTGGCATGTCTCGCTGTTGTCCAACTGTGCAGCAGCGCGGTCGAGCATTAGCAGAGTTAATACAGTGTTTATCAGCCGGGTTTATTGCAGTGTGTGAGAGGACTGAGTGTAAGTGTGCAACTAATGAATCTTAATGTTTGTTTTGCAACAAATTCTTTCTTTTCCTGTTCAGACAAATCTTTTTTTTTAAAAGTTTGGAGCTAATTAATGTCTTCAAACTGTAAGCAGAAATCTAAAAATAATAGGCAAGTATCAAAAATCTGATTTTGGCATTTTTCACTGTTTGTTTGTTGAGAATCTGCAGCACAGCACTCGTAAAAACCTGATTTTTCTCTCTGCAGTTTCATTTTTCATTCTGGCAATCACCCCTCGCCAAAAACTGCAGTGTCCACAGAGCCACAGCTGATTGGCTGACACGTGAATGTGTCTCTTCATGTGTCATTGCACCTATCACAGCCACATCACCCACAGACAGATGCATTAGTCGCGCCCTGGGAAGTGAATTTCAGAAAAAGATCCCGCCTTGACTGTTTCCAGCAGAGCGATGAAAGCCCGCTCGTTTTTATCCCCAATGTGTGAGTGCAGCACGGACTCGTCATACTTGATTGCTGTTTAGACATCCAGCCCTCCACATCCATTATAAAGCTTGGGTGTTCTTTCCCACCCCTGTTGAACTCGGTCTTGTTGTAGATCCCAGATTCTGGAGGCTGAATTGGCAGAAAGTTCAGAGAGGAGAGATGTGGCCGTGAAGGGGTGCTTGGGATCATCCAGCCTTCTCATCATACACAAAATCAGATACACATGTTCTCTTTCCCTCGACCGGCCGTCTTATACAACTTCTATGCTAAAGTGGAGCAGAGAGGAAACTGTTATCTAATCGTGGCCTGTTTGAGTCACAGGAAAGTTTCAAAATAAGATGACCTCTCAGCCAGTAAGCCAAGAGTCCCCTGCCCTGTTCCCCGTGAGCTGATGAGAATTATTAATAAACCTGGCAGGAAGAATTTTGTGTAACATTGTTACTGATATTTTAGTAAATGATAAAAGGCTAATTTTTCTACAATTTACACTTTGATGGCTGTTCTGTGGCTCTGGACTGTGAACTTGCATCTTTCACCACCCGCACCACCCTGGAACAAGCTTCATATGATACCCAGTACTGTTTCTGAAGATGCTAGTAAAGCTAAAGTTGCAAAACTGAGTTCCAGCAAACAGATTTCCTTCTTTCTCCTCGCAGATTTACAGGAAGGCAGTCAGCCAGATGAGCCAGGGCCTCATCAGGAGGTTGACGGTGCTCAGCCAGTACGAGGAGGCGCTGGGCAAAATCAACGCCACTGCGGCCGAGAGGCTCACGGTTCTAAAAGCGAAGCCTCAGGCAGCCATACAGAGAGACCTGCTGTCTATCTGCAATGACCCCTTTACCGTCGCCCAGCAGCTCACACACATAGAGCTGGTAAGAGAAGCAGTTCTTAAAAATCTGTTTAAATGTCATTTATTTTGAAGTAAGCGCTAAATGTGTCTGAAACCGAACCACTGAGACACACGCAGAAGTCAAAGAGAAGCCAGATCGATGTCAGAGAGGGCGACGTGTGTCAGAGCAGGACCAGATCTCTGTGATGGACTGATAAATCAGTGTGGTGACCGAGGTCCTCCTGTATCTGACCTAAAAAGGGAGATAAAATGTTGGCTTTAATGATGCTGATAATCCCAAACTAACTTAAACAAGTAGGGAAACCATCTGGTGACTAAACCTTTTACGGTCCTGCTGTGATGCGAACTGTTCGTGGATTCTCAGAGATTTTTTTTCCTCCCTTTTCAGGAAAGACTGAGCTACATCGGACCTGAAGAATTCGTCCAGGCTTTCGTCCACAAGGACCCTCTGGATAATGATAAGGTAATGACTGCATGCTTCAGAATACATCAGCAGATAAGAAAACACATACCGTAGTTATGCAATTTTTTTATTTTGGCTGAAATCTGGTGTAGACTTGATTTGTCTCCGATGGCCTAGTTTCTCTTCCAGAAGGATGTTAAGTTTACACAGCGCAGTTACTGCCTGCTGCATGGGTCAAAGTGAGGGCAGGTTATTTGCAGACCACATATCCGCTCCCCTCACACTCAATCACACCACAATTTCCTCAAACCATCCCAGTGTCTGGATTAGATGGGCATGCATGCACCCCATCTCCTAGCAACCACTACTGCCAAGGGTTTGCATTGGTAAGGTGTGTGTGTGTGTGTTTTGGGGCGGTGTGGTCTCTTTTCTGGCGTTTGGCTGCTAGGCAACGGGCCAGTTTTTTGGAAGCCAGGGTGATGGGGGTTAAGGCTGCCTTTGTTCTTTTAGGCTAGCTCGCCTCGTACCCCCAACGAGCCACTTGAAAACACGGGGACAACTCGGTCTGTGTGCATAGAAAGCGACATGCTCAGTGGCGGGAACTCGGCATGGGCGCGAGTGGCGTAAGGCTCGAGGAATGTGTGGAATTACATCAAGAGGAATCCACACAAAGAGCCAGCATGCATAATGTGAATAACATTGACCGCTATTGTGCTTATAGATGAAAAGCAGGGGGAAGCTGAGTATTATTGGCTGCACAGGTCCACTCATTTATTTATTTATTTTAAATTTGTTGAATCGATTGACGTCGACTGGCTTTGCTTTTAACTTCAGTTCTAACTGAAGGTTTTCTTTGGTGTTTTTTTTCTGCAGAATTGCTTCAGCGATCACAAAAAGGCCAGCAACCTGGAGGCTTACGTCGACTGGTTCAACAGACTCAGTTATCTGGTGGCTACAGAGATCTGCATGGTAGGTAACAAACAGCAAGCCAAGCAGTAAACTTCACTGCTAATGAAGGCGGATTGTTGATGGTACACAACCACTGTTATCTTCATTAGGGATGAAATCGCACGGTTCATTTTTCAGATAATTGTTTAAATAAATAAATAATTTTTTATTTATATAGCACCTTTCAAGACAGAATCACAAAGTGCTGCACATAAGATTACAAGTCATAAAAAGATTTAAAAAGAGAAAATAAAACAGGCAAAAAATTAACCAAAAGCAGTTTTAAAAAGTTGTTTTTTAAAAACAGCGACTGAGTCCACAGCTCTTAATGCTTGGGGGAGAGAGTTCCACAGTCTAGGGGCCACAGTGGCAAAAGCTCTGTCACCCTTAGTCCTCCTCATTCATTTAGTGAATGAAGTACCCAAAGAAATGTTCACAGCTCAGTTTCCACTAGATTCTTGCGTAATACATTAAAATATGGCCGAACCATAGGCTGTAAATAAAAGATGGACGTCCCAAAAGTTCAGCTGAAAGAGGAAGTTCCCTAAAACAAGGTTAAACAAGGCTGCGGTGTCTGGGAAAGGCTAAATAAACACTTTTCATGCTTGTCAAATAAAATAAAGAAAGAAACAAAAACTCCAATCTGTGATCTTGAATTGTACAAGCAAACCTTATTACTTTGTACACAGCACTTTACCAGCCATCGTCCCCGACAATGATTCCAACCTTTTCGGGGAACAGCACTTCGCTGTTTGGTAAATGTGTTTGTTGGAAATAAAGCTGAGGCTTAATGCAGTTTTTAATGTTCTCCATTCTGTTAACAGCCGGGGAAAAAGAAGCACCGAGCCCGAGTTATCGAGTTCTTCATCGACGTGGCGCGGGAATGCTTCAACATCGGCAACTTCAACTCCCTCATGGCCATCATATGTGAGTCGGAGTTCTCTTTTTTTTCTCTCTGAGATAAAGTTTTGTTTTGTTGCTGCACAAAACCTGAAGCGATTGTTCCCACAAGGTGATGCTTTGCACTTTCCTCACTCAGACGTGCGCTCTGCACTCGCTTCCTCCTCTGCACAGAGCTTGTTGTCTTGTGGGCATCATCATAAATTTGATTAGTGCTATAAATTGCAGTTTGTTTGTTTCGTTCATGCTGCGCTGCAGTCGCCCCGTGGCAGTAACCTCTCCTGACATTGTCTCAGTTCATTTCCACCTTACGTAATTTTCTTCAGTTTAATATTATGGGTGAAACTTGGCAGCAGATGGAGCGGAGTTCATGCAGATAATTGTCTTGATGGAATTTGTTCTTTGGTCACTCAGACGGTTTTTCCCATGGCTTTCCGCTCCGTCTGCTTGTACTTACAGAATCAAACGCACTCTTATATACTCACTGCAAAGTCTGCACATTGTAAAACACATTTATGAACCTATTGTCCCTGCTTCCAGTGTCTGCGCTTTTGAAAAATAGCCCAAAAGGTATAAAATTGCAGGACAAAGAGTGTGAATTATCAAGCCAATAGTTGCTGAACTCGAGGCGTATCACTGATGGGGTTTCCATTCTTCACTCTGCACAATGGCTGAACTATAAGCACATTGTATCCTGGTCTTTTGAGGTTACTTTCAGTAGAGAAATTGATATTTCTGCCTTTTCTATGTAATTTCTCTCCTCATTCTGCCCATTGTGGAGCAAACCCGGGTTGTGCTAAACAGCTGCAGGCGTTAACGTGACTCTAAAAAGAAGATTAGTTTCGATAAAAGTAACCAGGTTGATTCCAGGTTAGAAACGATAAAAACACCGAGGCCTAAGAGGTTAGAAGACTCTCTGAGTCTCGGAGGATTTAGAGGAGAGCGTGTCTGGTCATCGGTGTGGGCCTGAGGGCGGGTGGAGAGTCTTTGCGTCCACTACAAACAGGGAGCGCACTCGGGACTGGGAGAGGGCATAAACCGGGCAGATGGTCAGCACTGACCAGAGAGTGTGAGCACACAGGGGAGGAGGGAGGGAGAAAGGGAGGAGAGGATATCGGAGTGCCAGCTGTCCTCTGTCCTCCCCTGAGACGGCGAGGAAGAGAGCCACAGGCAAATCCTTCTACACCAGCCTCGTCTCCAGGGACACTGTGTTTGTGATGCTTTTAAAGGGTTATTACCCCCCAAAAGAGATCATTTACCATCAGCTGTGTCTCGGTGAGCAAACACATTTATTTTTTCAGGTCTTGAAATATCCACATTTGGTTTTCCCTCCTGTCTAAAGTGGATCAGAAAAGAAAAAGAAGGGCATTATTATCTAAACTGCTGCATGGCTGGAATCGGCCTTGGAGTTAAGTGACCATTTAATTCATTAAAAAAACAACAAAAACCTCCAACTGTCAGTGTGTCTTCTCGTCACTGGCGACATTGTGACTGCGCTGAAAAGAAGAAGACATTAACGGTATAATAATCATCTCGTATAGGGGGCGTACGTGTCCCAGAGGGACCACTACAGCTAACACCTGTCCTTCTTCACACTGGTCTCTTTGTGAGTGGATGGAGCCGTTTCCCAGGCAGCGCACGTCCTGACACAGCGTCACATGCCTCCGTGTTCGGCCTGCATTCGCTTCCCTCGGTGCTGTGTAAAAGCCAAACTGTCTGCTGGGAATCAAAGTGAGTTCAGGGAGAACACGAGGCGTCGCGGTTTTCGAGTTTTATATTTCTGTCTGTGAAGCGGAGTTCTTTAGAGGACCCCAGGGCTGTTTTTGTGGCGTTGTTCTGCTCTGTTGGTGACCCTTCGCTGCCTGAACCTGCACCGGGCACACAGAGGATTACCATATGGGAAGCAGAGTGCTGGGAGGGGAAACAAGGCGTGTGTTAACTCTATTGTTCCTGCTGCACCAGAAGAAGCAACGTGAAGAAAGAGATGGGGAGGAAGGGTGGAGGGGGATGTGCGTCTGTCTGGCTGAATGGGGAAAATGCCATGTGTTAATGCGATCGTGTTTGCACGGGCGTGTGATCTCTCTCTCTTTGTTTTTGTGTTTGTGTTGCAGCTGGGATGAACATGAGTCCGGTGTCACGGCTGAAGAAGACCTGGAGCAAAGTCAAAACAGCCAAGTTTGATATTCTAGAGGTGAGTTTGTATAAAAGAGATTTACTCAGGAAACGAGTGTTTTATAATCTCACTTTTAATAATTCAACTCAGTTTTTCCCACGCGTAGTGGCAGTGTTGTGGTAAACACTTGTGACAAATCTAGTTGTGGGTTTGCGGGGGAGCTACTGCTGTCGGTGATTTATTGGGTAAGAGAGAAAAACAGGGTCATGCTGAAAGCTTTTGCAAACGTGGATCTGAGTGGGAGAATAAAGGGTTTGCTGTCCATGACTGAGATCGCTCATAAATGTAGAAAAAACAGAGACTCTCAGAACTGAGCTGGTTGAAGCCTTTCTCTTAACCCTTTAAAGCCGGTCAGAGCAGCACGCTCTGTTTTGCGTAACTACTTTTAAATCCCGGTAGCTCTGCAACCACGTGAGCTAGCACAATAATTTTTTTTGCATATGAAACCGGAGGAGTTGTACTTACATCTTATGCCATCAGCTTGTCCTCGGTCACAGTTTCCTTCCACATATAGCTTTGCAAAAACTGCATAAAAAGCGCTTGCAGCAACAAAAACATAATATTCCAGAAACACGCTTTGCCGATCCGATCAGCTGTTCATAACACTTCCTACATTGGATTAGCTGTCAGCGCGAACTATCGCATGTCCGCCATGACCTGCCCGAAACAGGAAGTGACGTCATTTTCGCGGAAATGTATATATATATATTTTTTACCATCAAGGCCTCATGAGCCTATACTGGTGTTTTTAAAAGTTATGTTTGACTTTATGACTTTCTGTGTCGTTTCTGAGATGCTTAGGACTCACATTGCACTGCTGGAAATAGTTTATTTTGATGCATATGCTGCTTTTTTGCAAATTTGCATTATGATATTTATTTTCGTTTTTCCCGCAGTATATAAAAATTGGTGTATTTCAAAAATAAAACTATGAAGACACTCAAAATAAATTTCCTGTGGTGGGAAACTATTTTGTGCAACCTTTTTGTATTTACAGTTTTGAGGGATAAGCCTCTTAAATTTCTCTAACTAGAAATTTATGTTAAAAAAACAAAAACGATTTAATTTTTTTTGTGGTTTATTGCACTTTTTTGCAATTTATGTAATTACTATGCACTTAATGCAGACATATTATTAAAATCTGGGCTATAATGGTTGTATTGATGTATAGCAACTTGAAATGCTCCCAAAAATGGCTCCACAACATGTAAAAATATAATATAAGCTCTGGCGGACTTGGTTGTATGGTAGGTCTTAAAGGGTTAAACCAAAGCACATGATAGCCTTTCCCAAGTTTAGTTTGATTATATGGTAAAGCAACAGAATTTTCCTGGAACATCTGAGTCTGAAGGTTCAGTTTTAAGTCAGAACATGACAAGAACAAAAAATGAGCACCTATGATTGTTCTTGGTACATTCTGGAAGAAAAATAAGGGGAAATTTGGTGATTCTGTCGGGATCAGGTGGAAATAAATGGAGCCCAGCAGCCGGGAGGACCAGATGTTAAGGTGTAACTGGGTGTGCAAATCACGCAACCCTGCCTTCCTCCCCAAGGTGTGTGAGAAAACCCAGCATACCGCAAGACTACGTTCAGTGAGCCCAACGGGCCATCAGTCGGCCCTTTTGAAATAGGAGATCTGACGAGTGAGTGTGGGACGCTCTGCGAGACCTGAAAGGGTTTCAAAGACTCGAGTTCTTTAGGTTTTCTTCACGTCTCGCTGGAGATCATCCACGTCGTTCCTCTTCTGCGGTCTCTTGTTCCTTTTGTCAGTCGCACCCTTCTTGATGCTTTCCTTTTATCTTTATCTTTTGTCCCTGTGAGGATTTCTTTTAGGTGAATCCCAAACTTTGTGTTTGAGTTCATTTGCTGCTTAGTTTGTTCAAAGTCACAGACTCAATGGCATCGTCACTCCCCCCCATGTGACTACATCCTATGTCACAATATTTGAAACTTGAGGATCCTTGGTCATCATGGTGAAAACTAATAATAAAACCACATTTTATATAATTTTCACTGATGATGTGTTCGAGTTTCAGAGTTTCCTTCAGTGACAGTCAACTAGTATTATCCAGGCGCAGAGTTCGCACTTCCGCTGGTGTTAAGCCAAAACACATGTCGCCGGCTTTTTGGGCCATCAGATCCACTCACATTTCAGAGGCCTGTGCTCACACTGACTCTGCATTTGTCTCTCCACAGCACCAGATGGATCCTTCCAGCAATTTCTATAACTACAGAACAGCACTGAGAGGAGCCACGCAGAGATCAATCACCGCCAACAGCAGCAGAGAGAAGGTGAGGCCTTGATGTTCCCGCATTTGATGGTGGCGTGTTTACGGGAGATTGTCTATTCTGAATATTTAAATGTAATCTTAACTTTCCAACTGGTTCACCTGTAGCTCAGCTCCCATCTGAACGCCTTGTGGCGCGCAGAAAGAGAGCAAATTAAATATGGACGATGACATTTGAAGCGCAACATTTGTTGCATCGGAATCACAATTCTGGGAAAAGCTGCGATTCCGATTATTTATTTCTCTTTGCCAAAAAGATGTTAAGACGTAACCATGGTGATGTCAGACGTTGGATTGTGGACAAAGACATCTGCTAATTAAGTGACACCCTAATAAAAATAATAAAGAATA